AGTCTTGCGATAAAATAATGAGCGATTTCTAAAAAATATATGGATTAAAAAGTTCATGTGTTTAATATATTTTTAATAGAAATATTATAAATACATCTAATTAATAACAAAAACTTCTACATAAATTATTTATAAAGGAATAAAAAAATGGTACATTGCAATGAAAAATCCAACGGTAAGACATCCACTGAAAATCCCAAATGATATTTTATTCGTATAGCTGTCATTGTAAAATTCCATTGACTATTCCAAGATCAAATTACATTATATTCAAATTTTAGTGGATTTAATTAATCCAGTTATCATTATTTGTTATTGTGTGAATTTCTGTTTGAATTTTTTTCGGGTCATTTTTCAACAGATGGAAAAAATGTCACTGGAAATGTAAGAATTTCAATGGAAGTTCTATTCGAAATCTACCTGCAGTGGTGGATACAAAATAATTTCATACTTGAGGCATTATTTAGTTAATAGAAAAGGTATACCAGTAAAATAACATAATGTCATTATAATTTATAAATTATATTTTTCATAATTTGTCATCTTTCTCATCTATAATATAAGGTACACATCAATACAGTTACAATTAAAAAAATAACTTTTCTTAATTTGACATAAGCATATAATTGAAAATAATTCTGTTTTTTAAAATTTTATGAACAAAAGTTGACTCGACAATATTATTGATGAATTTATGAATTATAAATATTTAATTGTAGTATAAATTAAAAAAAATTGTAATTAAATATAATATAATATAAGATATACAAATAATTGATATATAATGAGACAGATGGTCGAAACAATTCTAGACTTTATATCATGCATTTTTTGACAAATCTACAGTTAAGAACATGTAACAGAACAAAATAAAAGTTTAAAAAAAATATTAAATATGATAAATAATATTAAAAATAAATAAGTTGTGACACGTACTAATAAATATGAAACAAAGTAATAAATAAAAATTTTATAATTAATAGAAGAAATATAAACCTTTTATAAATATACTTATCGACGTAAACGAGTTGAGTTGTTACCAAAAAAAATGTTATAAATACATTTATTCATGTAAGTTACCAAAAAAAAATCTTTATTATTCTAATTTTAAATAACTTTTTATTTGCTATATTAGTTTTTTTTTAATATAATATATAAATATCATATTGAACATATAAAATAGGAAATATTCTAATTTTTAAATATTTAATATGTAAGAATTGTAACTCAATTGGTAAATCAATAGGTAATCTTGAGATAAAATAATGAGTAATTTCTGAAAAAAAAAATAAAAATATAGGAACTAAAAAGTTCATGTGTTTAATATATTTTTAATAGAAAAATTGTAAACACAATTAATGAATAAATACTACATAAAAATTAATGTTTAAGAGGACTACAATAAATTGCTATATTGCAATGAAAAAATCAACGGTAAGGTAATCTACAGAAAATTCCAACGAATATTTCATAAATACTGTTTTTATTGGAAAATTTCATTGGCTATTCCAACAAAGTTCAAATTAAATTACTTGAACTTTAGTGGATTTAAAGATTTCAATTACTTGAATTTCCATTGGATTTTTTTGGACCATATTTCAATCGTTGGAAAAACTGTCATTGGAATTGTGCAAAAATTCAATGGAAATTCCATTGGAAAGCTAATTGCAGTGATAGATCTAAAATAATTTCATATTGAGGGCATTATTTAGTTAATAGAAAAAATATACCATCAAAATAACATGTCATTGTAATTTATAAATTAATATATCACCTTTCTCATTTTGTAATACATTTTAATAAATCAATACAGTCACAATAAGATAAAATATATTAAGAAACCAAAAGACATGATTTTTCTCAATTCAACTTAAGATCGTTATAATCTTGTTGGAACTTTCGTTGGAATTTTCTCATTTTCTTGTAGTAAAAGTAGGACTCCAAATCTACAAAAACAAAATTGCATTATTATATAATATTGTGTGCAACTATTATTATGAAAATTTTGATATGATAGAAAATATAACACATTCAATGTAATTGTCGTTTAATTTATGATAATAAGTAATTTTTGTTTCAAAACAAACAAGATACTTTGAAAGGTCCTTAATTATTTTATTAGTATTATAATAACTAAATAGGGGGTAAGAAAGATGAGAAAACTTATAGCTCTCATTATATCAAAGAGTAAAAATACTGATAAAATTACTTAATGTACAATATCAATTGGAGCTGGCTAATGAGAAATATAAAACATACTTAAGATACACATATATTTTAACTAGAACTTTTAGGTATACATTTCCTTAAAATTGGGTATGTTAATCTTAAAAGTTTTTAATTAAAAATTTAATTACTTTCTCTCATTAAATTTTTTAATTTTGAGATACTTCATATTTTTTATTTGTTACTCTTTTTATATGTAATATATCACATTATTTCTTTTCAATAATGTTTGAGTTGACCAATATATTGCAAATAAAATAAAAATAATATAATTATTTATATCGATATATATATATATATATCAGTAATAATTTTAAAATAATAAATTGACCTAAAATTATAGTATATATTAATTTATTTATTCAAGTTAAATCAATTTTATTAAGTATAAAATAACATAAGATAAACTTGTGGTATATTTTTTTCTTACATTTTTCTTACATAGATTTGAAACAATTCATATTAAAAATAACATAAAAAGAAATGGAGGTAAACTTACAACCATTCCCACATTTTGACTAGAGCGCCCATTCCCGATATATATTTGACACTGGTTTGTCGTAATGTTGAAACTATGGCGAATGCACCTTAGGTACAAACAAAGAGAAGCGAAGTGAAATCATAGATAAAAGAAGGAAGAGACTAGGCCAGAGAAGGGAAATGAGATAACATTAGCTATGTGAATTAAAAAAACAAATAAATGAGTTGTACGTTAAACTATTATTCAATTACTGCTTGAAAAAGAACCCTATAAAGGTGGTACCATATATGTATTCCGTGATTATGAAAATGACTTAGTTACCTAATATTTTTATCAAACATTGGAAAAAATTGTAAACTTTTTAATCTAATAATTCATATAAAAAGTATATTTTTATCAAATATATTAAATTTACATTATATCTTATGTGATTATAGTAGTTGCAGCCTAATAAAAAAGATAATTTGAAAACATCATTATATATAACACATACAAAAAATAACGCAATACATATAAATGTGTTTTAATTATTTAGCAAATAAAATATTATTTATCTATAGAATAAGAAACAAATAATATAATAGTAACACAATGAGAAAAAGAATACGTGTGAATTTTCTTAGAGAAGTATGAATACCAATATTTACGAACAAAAAGTCTTTGAAAATTACTACTTTCTTGCTGCTAGCGTTTAAATATAGGGACTCTGTAAGAAATTGGTTTTCATAAATAATGATCCTATATTATTTACTTTTAATTTTAAATAATTAAAAAATCAAAAAAATTGTAATACATAATGTATATTTTAATCATGACTCCATAATAATAAACTTTGCAGATGACTAAGAGTATCGTAATATAATAGAATTGTAACTCTTCTCCTATCAAATATTTTAACAAATGATATGTTTCTCAATATCTTCTCATTGTTTTAATTGTTTTGTTTTGTCATTGTTGGAGAATAAAGAAATGATCTTTATCTTGAATTTTATAATCATTTTGTATGATGAATAATGTTGGACAATAAAGGCATTAAAGAAGTTATTAGGCACACAAATATTGCATATTCAAACGAATGTGAAAGATATTATGATAAACAATTCTAAAATCATTCCAACAGCCATGATGGTCAATAATTTTCAAATAATAAGTTATATTGTTCGTCTATATTCTAAATAAATGACAATGTTGGAGTATCAAAATAATTTTGAATGTTCGAATGAAGTTGTCAATTTTTATGGAAATATTTATAATCTCATTGGTATATTGTACTCGAACATATGTGCAATTACTTTAGAGGTACTTTCAGGTAATGTATGATGATTTCAAAAAATAATTTAGTACCTCGGGAGAAATACATGTAACCAAAATTTTGAATAGTCAACTTTTATTTGGAGATAAAATTCATTCTCACCTCGTGGGGCGATGCATCAATGGGGTAGGCACCAATATATTTAGAGATAAAGGAATGTAGTAGTTAATACAATGATAAAAAAATACCGGCAATTTTAATGACACAATTAGTTATTTTATAGAGATATTTATGCATCGTTAGTAGAAGTGCCTTATTATAAAGATTATACGATCATGAAGTTTGACTATATGTTGGGTCGGAATGTTTCTTAAGTGTTTTGATAAAATTAGTGTTTTGCCAAATGAATTAAGAGAAATTTGCAATAGTATTGATGTATTAGACTCCAGCGAGTATGAAGGTTTCTTATAAGAAAGATGAAAGAAAATCTTAATGGTTTTTGTATTAAGGATTTGTTTTTTATATATTTTAGTTGGGGGTTGTATAACGTTATTTCACTCTTTTTATATTAGGACATCATTACGCTAATTATAAATAAAAAAAAATCACATATGTATTCATTTGTTCTATATTTTATTTCATTCCTGCAATGATATGTTTAATAAATAAATTAATTTATTTTACAAATTTACTCAGCAAAAATCATTCGATACCACGTGCATCGCACGTGCACTTTACTAGTACTCTAAAAAATAACATAAATAAAAACATAATATTTTAAAATTTAAATATACATCTTTGTTGAAAAATATGAGGAGTCTACCCTGCTATATATTACAGCCTCACACAAAAATTCATGCTTATTTTCAAGACTTAATTAACGTGCTTGACCTTCAAACCACATCAGTCATCACACCATACTATGACTAAATTGATGATACCGTGTGGGGTTTGAAGCAATGTTGTTCACAGGCTAAAGGTGTAATAAAATAAAGAAAATATGCATAACTTTCCACTCGTTTTTCCAAATGAATTGGCATCAAATTTTCCAATATATATGTGTTTATATATCTATATATATATATTAGAATCGTGTTATTTCACATATACAACTCCAAAAATTAATGGATACAGAGAAGGCAATTAATCTCCGTTTCATTATTTATGTGATGGTCATTGTGCTTATTTATGTTGGCCATCATCATGCAGTGAGAGGCAGGGAAATTCATTTGCAGAAGAATGATACCTCATTAGATCAAAACGGTACGTTGAAACAACTAATTCATTCCAAAAGAATTCAAAATATAAGTACAGGCTTTTAAATGCGTGGTCACGCAATACATATTTGATAACAACGCAACATTTATAATTATGGCCAGAAATTGGTGCAAGTGACAACTTTATCCAATAATTTTTGTAACTAGTACTCGATCCCTGTGCATTTGCACAATGTAAATAAAATATTATAAGTTATATTTATACATATAATATTAAAATTATAAACTATAAAATGAAATTATATTTTAAACATAGAGTATTATAAGTTATATTTATGGATATAATAATAAAAATATAAATTAGATAATGATATTATGTTTTAAAATTTGATCATTGATTAAAATAAATAGTACATAACTATTTGATTGCATATGAACCACTATATTAATTACATAAAATATAATAAATAATGTAATTTTGAGAGATCGCCAATTTATTAGCTTAAAATATTAAATTTATTATAACATTTGATTATGAGATTTTAAGGAATTTTACTAATTAACTTATTTATAAATACAACAGCTAAATAAGATAAAAAGTTATAATATTAATTTTAGAATAGATAACTTTAGCAAAAAGTTTACAATATTTTTTTATGTTTATGTAATTTTCATATATCATTTAGTGTAAATTATAATTATTAGTTTTAATAATGGCTATTATATGATATAATAAAATAATATAATTATTACTCCATTAATATAAAATGTAACGGTTTTTGTCTTAATTAACCATAAAAAAAGTGCAATGAAATATTTTAGCATTAATTAGATATGATGGATTAATAATAATAATAATAATAATAAAAGATTGTAACATAAAAAGATGGTAAACAATAATTAATATTGTTAAATTTATTGTTGGTAATTAAATATAGAGAGCTATAAATGATAAAGTTTGTAACGGTTTTTGGAGAAAAATCAAAATGATTTTTATTAAATGTTTTATTAAATGCTATTAACCAGCAAATTATATATATATATATATATATATATATATATATATATATATATAGATTGTACAAAGTGTTCACAAATTAATAAAATTGCGAACAATCTGCACGAATATGTGGGTAATTAGGGCACCCGCAATGGGCCGTTCAAGTACCCCGTTCAACTTGTTTAAATGCCAACTTGGCATTTAATAACATTGTGGGTGTTCATTTTGGGGTGGGCCCCCCACCACCCGTTCATTCCATTGAACGGCAATTGTGTCCCTTTTTATATTTTATTTTGTTTTCTTTTTTTTTTGTTTTAAAATCATTATTTTGTATTGAATGAGTGTATAATGGGTCCCACATATGTATTTAAATGAATGTGTAGGAATGTGAGTGTGTGTTTAAATGGAGAGAGATTTAGTGGAAAGATGATGTGAATGAAAGAGAATGTTACTTTTTTATTGAATGAATGATATTTATGTTAAACGGATATGGATGCCCTTAGACATTTTTCAACTTTTTAAAATTAGATAGTGGGTAGCTTTTGCATGAATTTTGCACTTTTAGGCAGTTTGTGCGCGATTTTTAATAGTTACAGGGCACTATTATGCAACCGCAAAATTTAATTGTGCCCCAAGTTATTGAGTATGTTTTAGAATTTTCCAATCATAACAATTTATGAATAGGGATATGTAGGTTACAAAGCTCTATATCTGATTTCTTAAACTGGAGATTGGATGAAGTTGTTCATCTGTCTAAAATGAAACATTCTATCTGACCTTTTAATTTGGCTAAATATAATATACTTATCATATATTGTAATTTTACTCTCGACTACTTGTATCTATTAAAAAAAAAAATCTATCATAACTACTCGGGGCACATCTAGACGTGGCCATGAGCCACTCGGCCCTGCCCAGACCCGGCTGTAGACCAAGGGTCCGGGCCCGGCTCGTATTTTAACCGGGCCAGTCCAGGACCTTGTTTTTTCGACCCTGGCCCGGCCCGAAAAAATCACATGCTTTTGTTATTTTATTATTATTTTTTTTATTTGATCGGGCCTAGAACCGAGTCGGGCCCGGCCCGCCGAGCCATGAACCCGGCACGACCTAGGTCCGTGCCGGTTCAGGGTCCACGAAATCCAACCCATCGGTCCGGCCCGTATTTTGGTCATGTCTATGCACATCATTTGTTATTCATTTACATGATAAAATATATCAAACTATGTTTTAATTAAGATACGCATTGCCAAATATAAACAAATTGAATATTATATTTGTATGAAAAATTAGTTTTAAAGTTGAGTTTCACTCGGTTTTGATTGATTTTCTTCTGGCTAAATATATAATTTAAGTTAAATTAAGTTATGTAGAAAAGTCTACGTAACGAATAGATACTTGTGGTATAGTTATTTTTTCAAAGAAATGCTGGAGCCCATGGTTGGCTCCTTTATGGAGCCAACCACCAATGTTATGGTGTCACGTAGGGCATGTGAATAAATAATGGGTCCTCGGTGAGTGAGATAATTGATTAATGATAGTCATTAATGGGGAGATAAAGACATGGTTGTGGAATTAGAAGGTTCAAGAGTCTTATTGGACTCTTAAATGAGAATAACTCTCTTTATTATAATAAAGAGAGTTAGAGATGTCACAACAATAACAAAAATTATGCACCAAGTATTGATGACTTCAGCCACACTTGCAAGTGCGCCTGCCTGCCAATTTGGGAACAAGCACGGGCCTAGGCTTGGACCTTAGCCGTGGCCTTGGAATGTGGGCTTAACTTGGCGACCTTGGACGGTCTGGGCCAGTGTTGGGTTTGGACTAACCCATTAGCCCATATTATCTTTTTGCTGCAAAATCTATTTGAAAATTGTGTTCCAAATTGAAATCTAAACCGAGTTGGATTTGGGCTCGATTTTTTTCCCAACCCATGTGACACCTTTACAGATACATTGTATCTGAACATGTTGACTCTACCTGACGTTTCAGGTGGAGTAGTGGTGTGTTAACACCTGAAAACGCCAGACGTAATATATGACCGTTTTCTATCCATTGGAACAACTATGACTGGTTGTTCCCTGCCTTTAGTGGTCGCTGACTTTTGGTCATCCCTTACCTGGCTGGAAGTCCTATAAATAGGACATGGAGCCTCAAAAGCACAATCATATCACCATTTGCATACTTGCTACTCCGAAAAACCTCACGCGTCATACGTATAGTGCTCAATTCTTACTCCGTTCAAGTTTGCTGGAGCTCAGAAGTTTGAAGTTCTACAACTTATGAGACATAATCATTGTATCTTTGGGGAGAAACGCCTGAACCCGTCAACACATGATTGTTGTTTATTCGTCTTGCGAAAAGATCAACTCTCGCCTCGATTGATTTTCTTCCCTCATAAAGATCTTTTGTATTCTTGTTTTCTGTTTTTAGTTCAAGTGGTAAGAAATGAACGATAATATTAAGATTGTAAGGTTCTCGTGTAATTATAAACACCCGCAAGACGAATAGCCTTACCTACTGAACTGATGGATTCAGTTGGAGATGGTTCGAACACTCAACAAACCCAACAACATCATCAACCGATCAACAATGTTTTTTCTCATCATCCCGTTACCTGTTGTTCATGTGTCAACTGCTGAATCTGAGAAATTTAATGAGCTTGATTTCATGAGGTCGCAGCAGAAGATGCATTTTTACCAAACCACTTGGGGTTTGGTTAAGTACCTAAAGGACAACCCCCTTGTTGTTGTTAAAATAAGATCAATGTTGACCTACGTATTGCGTATGATGCTTGGGGTAAATGTGATTACTATATCAAAACTTTGTCCTTAACTGACTTATTATTGAGTTATACAATGTGTATAGCTCGGTCAGTTCTGACAAGGAGCTTTGGGCTGCCATGGAGAAGAAATATAAGACAGAGTTAATTATCACTTTGTTGGTTATTTATTATTGTTGCATATTCATCATACATAATTTTACGATAAAATATAAATTTACTTTAATTTTTATTGTAAAAATATTAGTATATTTAAGTACCGTGTACTCTAATCCCAAATATAATCTTTCAATTGAATATTAGTAATTTATTAAAGCATTTACGTACAAAGAAAGCTGAAAAACAAATCATCTACACAAAATGTTCTAACGTTATAATAGCTACAAGCTTGCCAAAAGTGTCCAGTGCGATCTAAAAAGCATTATCCTGATTTGTAAAAACAATATTTGGAATCAATTCAATTTTACTAATTTGCAACATGTTTTCTCATCAGCCAAGAACAAATCTCGTGTGGTCGAACCTCCATTAATACCACCATTCTTTTCTCCACCACCATTTGTGGAGTCGCCATCGCCACCGGAATATCCTCCTCCCATTTGCCATCGTCCTACTTGTCGTACCGCTTCTTCTATACATGCTGATCACACCAAAGACACCAACACAAAGCAAAACAAGCATAGTTAAAGTAAAACGTGATGGTTGCAACTTGTAAACCACCATGTGATCTCATTTTTTGTATTTAAGTTACTCGTTGTGTGTATTTAATTTACTGTTAACATTTTCTATTTTACCTTGATTATTAAAGCAATTACCTGTAGATAGTAAACTTGGTGTAAAAAAAAAAAAAGATGTATACGTCTTCGTTCATGCATTATTCCTGAAATGTTTGTGGTTGTTTAAATAATATTCATTTGACTACGTTGTTGTATACAAATTCTTATATTTTACCGAGTACCGAATCAAGGATTCGTTTCCCAGGTCGATCTCTCGAGGAAGGCGGTTCAGAATTTAGGTTTGGTATCGATAACACACAAAAAGAAAATAAATCCTAAACACTCTAATCAGATAGCAGTTTGGATGAATTATTAACTAAGAAATAAAATAAAACAATAATCTACCTAAAAATATAAACAAAACAAAGATGGAGAAGCTAGGGAATCGGAGATATTTTATTCAAGTTCTTAGCAAAACCGGGCAATTAATCGTTCAGTTCGAGATTGACACTCTCGCTTAGACATCTAGCGGTTCGCTCCCAATAACTCGTAACAAGGGATTGAACATAGACGAGCTAGCTCGAGCATACAACACATGTCAATTATCCCCAGTCCCAATAACTTTTCGTAACAAGGGACGGGTCATCAACAAGTGCATATTTCAATCAAGAACCTATAGACTATTCAATTATGAAATTATCTATCTCATGTGAGCCGAGGTCTACGACTTCTCCCCTTTCGGTTCTAAAAGTCGCTAATTCAACTAGAAGGTGATTAATCAACTAATCATATAGAATTAACAAACCCTAACTCAACAAATTAACATTCAATTGTTTCCAATTGCAAGATCGAAGTGTCACTCTTTGATTATATCAATCAATCAAGCAAGAATACATCAATTCTGAATTTACTCAACTCACATAAGCATGAACAAATCAAAGCCCGACAAATATACGTTAAACAAGAACAATCATCCCCTATCCCTAGCAATAACAATAAGCTAAGTAAAATCAAAACAACACAATCCATCATCTCTCTCAATTCAATCATTTTCATGAATTAAAAATAAAGAGAAGAACTTACAATAAATCGCAATTCGAGTGTTGAATCCAAAATTAAAAAGCTTAATTCCTAAATAAGAAGAAGAAGAAGAACAAAAAAATGAAAAAGAAAGGTGAAGAAGAGAGAAAACGAGGAAGAATAAGGAAGAAAAAAAGGAGAAGAAAGAGAGCTGTGAGTTTTTCCCGACCTAGGGTTTTTACGCCGGAAGGAGAGATTAATCTCATCTGTCGTCCCGTACGCATATTTATATAAGTATCATGTCATGGCGTGGGAGGACTTCTGCACGGAGCGAGGAGAGCATTGGTGATGAAGATCGCGTGTCCCGATTGTCGACAAGCCGCTCGTTCGCGCCTTAAACCGACGGTAGTGCCTCGGAGGTTCACACACTCGCGCCCCTTCAAAACGGATTAAAATTGCAAAAGAAATCAAGAAGAATTCTAAGGTAAAGTTTTGAACAAAAGTTTGATTTTTATTATGAAGTTCAATGATGAAAAAATAACAAGAGCATGCGCCTTTATATAGGCTTCAAATAAATCTAGTCCTAATCAATCTAAATCTCCTAATAAAGCAATAAAATAATTAAAGTCCTAAACAATCTAGAAATCATGAAATAACTAGGAAACTATCTAAAAGGTCTTGTCTTGCGCACCAAGTAGAAAAACCCTAGCCGCCTCGATCTCTCCCCTGCGCGCCTCTCTGTTTACCTCAAGGACTAAAGCATCGCCGCCCTCGCGCGCGTCGCCTACCCCCGCTAGGACTCCTCGGGTGTGACGGTACTCGCCCACGTGTGCGGACGCGGTTGCCTTGTCCTCGCCTTCCATATCGCCGAGGATTTCGCGCGCGTCATGTTCCCGCGCCCGCGTACGTGCCTCGATCGCATGGACCTCGCCCACCTTCCGTGCTAGCCTCTTCCCCGCGTGGTAAGCCCTGCTCGAGGCATTCTTAAGTCATCGCACCACATCCTCATCATTCCCGTCCCCTTCAAGTGCTTCCTTGTCCTCAAGGACGAAAGCTGAAAATTGTTCTCGCATTTCTTCTAAGTCCTCCCAGGTGGCTTCTTCCGTTGGCAACTCTTCCCACTCAATCAATACCTCCAAGCGATAGCGGACGACCTTCCTAACCTTGAGGTACTCGACCACGCGACTTGGTCGTATAATGATTTGCCCATCCGGCGCGGTCGCGGGAAGTCGCTCGCACCACATGTGCGCCTCCCTTAGGCTTCTCTTGAGTTGTGACACATGTATAACTGGGTGAATGTGTGAGTCCTCGGGCAGCTCAAGTCGATAGGCCACCTTGCTTATGCACTTCAAAACTCGATAGGGTCCATAGTAGCGGACGCCGAGCTTGGTCGCGGCCTTCTGCGCTGTCGTGCGTTATCTGAATGGCCGCAGCTTCAGGTAGACGTAGTCATCCTGATCGAAGCTCTCCTCGCGCCGCTTGCCATCATGATAGGCCTTCATTCGGTTGATAGAGCCTTCCAGGTTCTTTTTTAGTTCGCGCAACATCAAGTCACGCTCCACAAGTTCCCGGTCCACTTCGTCATTAATTGCGCTTCCCTCCAAATAACTCATGAGCGTCGGCAGCTTTCGCCCATACACGAGCTCGAATGGCGTGGTCTTGGTCAAGCCATGGTATGTGGTGTTATACCAATACTCGGCCCAAGGTAGAAAATTATCCCACTTTTTTAGAAATTGATGCACGTAGCACTGTAAGTACTGCTCGAGCGTACGGTTGGTCACCTCTGTTTGTTCGTCCGTCTGCGAGTGGTACGCCGAGCTCATTGACAGCTCAGTCCCTTGTAGCTTGAAAAATTTTGACCAAAAGTTGTTCATGAAGATTCGGTCGCGGTCGGAAACAATCGAGCGGGGCACCCCATGTAACTTCACAATGTACTCGATGAATAGGTTGCGGATGGATTTCGCCGTGTAGGGGTGCGTAAGAGGCACGAAGTGCGCGTACTTAGTCAGTCTATCAACCACGACCATGACTCCATTGAATCCATTAGAGACCGGTAGCCCCTCGATGAAGTCCATGGTGATATCTTGCCATATTCTTTCGGGCACAGGTAAGGGTTGCAGTAGCCCGCCCGGTCGTCGTGCGTCAGCCTTGGTCCGCTGGCACTCATCACAGCGCCCGACATAGTCCCGGACCGCGCCTTGTTGCCCTGGCCAATAGAATGTGTTGGTCATTCTCATCCACGTCTGATAGAACCCAGAATGTCCGCCAACTTTCGAGTCATGGAAGTGTTGCATGATCCTCTCATGAAGTTGTCCGCTGTCGGGTACGAATGCTCGGCCCCGATAAAGCAGTAGGCCGTTGTGTTGCTCGTAGTCGCCGACAGTGGAATCGCCTGACTCAATACCTCGGGGCAGGTCCTGGCATTGGCCGTTATCATCCAGCGCCTTGCTAAGTTCCTCCCATATGGCCCACGTTGGACCGGATATGGCCTCGAGCTCGGCCATGTCTGTCCGCCGAGAGAGTGCATCGGCCACGGCGTTCTGCCGTCCCGGTCGATACACGATCTCGAATTCGAAGCCCATGAGCTTCGAGACAAACTTCTGATGTTCGGGCGTCACGATCCTTTGCTCGAGTAGGTGCTTAAGCGGCTGTTGGTCGGTCACGATTTGAAAACGCCGCCCAAATAGATAGGGTCGCCAGCACCGTACAACCTCTACTACCGCGAGCATCTCTTTCACGTACACGGATAGCCCGAGTCGAGTCGTGCCTAGGGCCTTGCTGAGAAAAGCCAAGGAACGCCCTTCTTGTACCAGCATCGCCACAATACCTACGTCCACTTGCGTCTATGTGCACCTCGAACAAGACATCGAACCTTGGCATTGCGAGCACGGGCGTTGTGGTCATCGCGCCCTTTAGCTTCTCGAACGCTGCTTCGCTAGCTTCGTTCCACTTGAACCCACCTTTCTTCGTCATCTCCGTGAATGGTTTCGCGATTGTTCTGTAGTCTTTTACAAACTTCTGATAGTAGCCCGTGAGGCCTAGAAATCCGTGCAGCTGGGTTAGGCTCGACGGCTTAGGCCAGTCGACCATAGCCTCGAGCTTTCTTGGGTCAACCTTTACCCTATCATGCGAGATAAAGTGGCCAAGGTACTCCACTGTCTCTTGTCCCAACGAGAATTTAAACGGCTTGATGTGGAACGAGTTGGCCTCCAATATCTCGAGTACTATCCGCAAATGTTCGAGGTGATCGGCCCACGACTTTGAGTAGACCAGGATGTAGTCAAAAAATACTAATACGAATTTGCGCAAGTATCCTTTGAAGATTGAGTTCATGGCAAACTGAAAAGTCGACGGGGCGTTGCACAATCCAAAGGGCATCACCAAGTACTCATAGTGCCCTTGGTGCGTGCGAAAAGCCGTTTAAGGAATGTCGGCCTTGTGGAGCCTAATCTGATGGTACCCGGCCCTAAGGTCGAGCTTAGAAAAGTAGTGTGATCATCCTAGCTCGTCGAGCATATCGGCGACACTCGGAATTGGATAACGGTCATTAACGGTCGCGGCATTCAAAGCGCGGTAGTCTGTACAAAACCTCCACGTGCCGTCCTTCTTTTTTGCCAGTAGTACTGGCGAGAAGAACGGGCTCAAGCTGTGCTGGATAAGCCCGGACTCAAGCATCTCGCTCACTTGCCTCTCGATATCCGTCGTTGAAGGTGTGCGTCACGGTAGGGGTGAACGTGCACGGCATGTTGCTCATCGACCAATGGTATGCGATGGTCGAACTCCCGGTGCGACGGAAGGCCCTTAGGCTCGTCTAGTACGCGACCGAAGTCCTCGATCAGCTCGCGTATTTCGGACTGATGCTGCCCATTCTCACCCCCGCTTGTGCCTGCTCCCTCGATCATGATGACAAAGATTTGGCCGCCCCCGCGCCAAACCCGCTCGATGCTTTTGAGCCCAACCTCCTTAGTGCTGCCATCTTCACCTGCCTTCAACGTGACTCGGTGCTCCCCCGAGTTGAACTTCATGACCCCTGTCCTATAGTTGGTGGTCACATCGCCCAACCCATCGAGCCATTGCACTCTGAGCACGAAGTTGGGCTCGAACAATGGTAAGGCGTATAGGTCGGCCTTAACGGTTACTCCTTGAAATTTGATTGGCACCCCACGAAAAGCCTCCGAACACCTTAGTCGCTC